CCTTCCAATTCTGCCACTGCTTGGCGCAGGCCTGAAATTACATTCCGTACTTGTCCAGACCAGCACTTGCACTTGGCACCAAAGCTATAGAATCTGTTATTACAAAGGTTTTAATACTGCCATAAATCAAAAAATGAGAGGACTGTTTTAAAGGAGCTAATTCAATGGTTATAAGGTTATTTGGTACCTGTCTATTAGCTCTTTCATTCTCTGTGTAGGTACATGCACACACTGACACAACATTTTATACACACAATGGTGTCTCTATGAATTTATAGAATATGGGTGAGTTTTTGTTTAAAATAATCCAGAGTTCCTATTTTTAAGCCCATTATTCCACACACATTCTGCCCAGACACAGACCAGGAAAGTGAGTTTTGGCTTGCTGGTCTGCAGAGGCAGCATAACAAGTCCATGATCAGTGTTGAAGGGAAGGCATTTATTTGCACTGTATTTGATAACAGTTTATTGAAGATGACTGCCCAGGGATACTTCCATTGGAAGAGAACTCAACTTCAAGGAAGTTAGTACTTTAAAGATTTGTGACGACCCCAGGAAATAGAAAAACATCACTTAAGCCAGTCACCCACTTGAGATACATTGCCTGTTCAGGAAAATAGAAACCTGAGATGCAACGTCTGTATCAGTTCCATCTCAGAATCCATAAATAATTCATGGAAGGTATCAATTTATTCATCAGCAAGGTGTCCAAGAATGAGTTCTGGGTATTTACCAACAACATGGCCTTGGAAACTCCATCCTATTGAAATGATTTCTGTTCTTGGCAGGAATAACTTGTGCTAAGGGCTGTATCCACACCCTTTAGAAAAAACACGGCACTGATTTTGCATAGCTAATGTAAGCATTGAAATGGGTATTCTTTGGAGGCAAGTGTGAACATATAGCAGGTTTTCCCCAGGGGTGTGCACATGTGCTGGAAATCATTGAATCTAAATCTGTGTCACTTGATGACTAAATTCCTTTTAGGCTACAAAGGTATTGTTTCAGTGCCCCCCCCTCCTATTCTTAATTCAGACCAATTTTTCCTTATAAGTAGAAATACCTGCAAATAATTTCATGTCTCACCAATGATATGGGCACTAATTTTTAACAAAAGGCTCATAATTCTTTTTATGATAACTGTAAAACTGGAGAACCCATATCCATTAAAGCATAAGCTCATGTTACATGGAATTAAGACAAGAAGGAGCATGTAAAATGTCAGCTTAAAGATGTTTCTTGTATTGCATAATACAATACAGAAAAATACAGTATATGTTCCATTTAAAAGGCAAATTAAGGACAAGCAGGAATTGTTGTGGTAGATGAATGATTCCTTGCATAGGAAAAAATTTACCAAAAAAATAGGTTTCCATTTCAGAGGATATATATATATAAATAGGTATATTTCAGAGGATATATATATATATATATATATATATATATATATATATATTTGTGCCCCTTCCAGGACCCAGTGGAGTAATCTGTCTTCTGAATGAAGGCCTACAATTCCCTTTCAGCCCTGTTTTGATTAAGATGGGCCTCATTGACTAACCAGGGCTACATTTGATTCATTGTTGGCATTTGTTGCATTCTCTCATATCCAGATATTTACTGAAAAAGGATATAAAAACTCTCAACCCTACATCTTTAGCCAATCTATTGGTGACCGAATGACATTTAATATCTAAATGGAGATTTTCAGATGTATATGTACATTATAAATTATAATATTAGCTCATCTTATTTTAATGTTTAATTGTTTTCCTGATATAAGATTCATGATTTAACTTTTAAAACCTGCAAATTATGGAAAAAATTAGAGCTCTTAAAGAAAATCAAAATGTTGATCTCAATGTCATATTCATACAAAAAATTATATTGAGATTTCAATCTGTAGCTTTTGCACATTTTATTATAAAAAGAAAGTATAAACACAATGGAATAAAATACATAAGCAAATCATATATCATCACCATTTGCCTAGCACTAAAGTTGCATCAACTCTGCATTTCACCAGCCAACCACAAAATAATAAAATTCACTGTATAGTTGAGAATCATTGAATACATTTTATATTTATGAAACTGTGTTATTTCTGGATGCTATGTACTAGTAATCAATTGTACTTATTTTTATTTTAAATATACTTAAAAAGACTTTATGGATTTCACAGGAGTTAGTTTTTCTTGTAACAAAATGTATATATTTTTTGTTTCTTATAATAAAAATAATCTGCTGTTACACATAAATCACCTAAAGAAATACCTTGGTTAGTGATATTAGTGTCTACCATGACCTAATCTAAAATGTGGTATCTTTCCCAAAAGTATTACACAGAATTGGAAAAAAGACTTTAAAAACTGAATAAAACCATTTTTTTTGCAAAGTGCTACAGAGTTGAGACAAAATACCAATAAATATAAATCAAACACAAAACCCAATCTACCTAACCATAACCTTCCTGGAGAACACTTTATAGTGTTTTCTTGATACATAACTATTTTGTTCTTATTATTAACTGAATTTAAGAAAGTATGTTGATTTATATTGCAAATAGCCTTACAGATTGCACTGTTGATAAGTTGTAAGGATTAATATTTCTATTGTATATTGAGGGTGTTAAAGCACAGTCACCTGACAGTGCTTAAAACAAATTCTGTGTATTTCAGTGAACATAAAGCAGAGCCCAGGAGGACTGCATAGTCTGTCTCAGTTAGAAAAAAGTGAGTTCTGCAACCTCCTGCACCAAGGGGATGAATCATCAAAAAAATATGGAAGTTGATAATAGCAGTTACTGTAGCAATAAAAACATGATAAAAGGCTCTTTGACAGTATGAAAGCTTGGAAGGCTTGCCAAATACAAAAAGCTAGTTTGTAGGCACTTACAGTATCCTGCTTTCTTTAGTAGGTCTTCAGGGTTTCTGACAACTTCTGGTTCATTCTCTTAAGCGGAAATGATCTATTGAAATGTTGTCATTTCTAATAGTAATCAAATACATTTGAACTTTAGGCACACATTTTTAAAAAGCTGTAGTAGCATTTGCAGAGCAATTATTCCTTGATTGACCAAAATGGTGGAATCTGCTATAGTATTGGGTCATACCTGGATACATGTTTTTGAAGTTACCAGCTCATGTGAACTTACTGAGTTATGTCTGCTTGTTTCAATTGTAATAGTCCTAGGTGCTGTTTTTGTTGACTTTCTAATATTTTTATTTGTTTCAGCATTTTCTCAAATGAACCAACCCTTAAGTCAATATTTAATAAGACATGGGTTCTTAACTTTAGTAGTATATCAGACATCTTCTCTCTGTTTCCATGCCAAAGACTTACAGTCTTTAACACACTTTTTTGGGTAATGTAATTTTTGACCTGTGTCTGTACTTCTTCTAGAATCTATCAGTGACATGAAACTAAAAGAAGAAACTTCAAATGTGGACTGCTAATTTTTTCATCCAACACTTTTAACTGGGAATTACTGTCTTGTGCACATTGTCAAGTAATATGAGGAAGATCAAATGATCCAAATGTCAAGCAAACCAGCAGAAATGGTAAGTCCTCCTTTTTCATGCCTCTAATGGATCTTATTTGCTTACTGGGAAATGGTATACTATACCTTTAAATATAACCCCCCCCCACACACAGGAGCGCCCACACACGATGTCAACAGTGATGCTTGAAAACGTTTATGCAGTTATTCTTGACTTTCATTATTATTAATGTTTTCTTTAGTTTAGTTTAGCTTGGCTACTGATCAATTCTTAACCAAAAATAATGCATGTATTTCCTGTAACCTTTATACCTAAAAATATATTAAAATGCCTACTCCTATTTTCTCCTGTTCTTAAATTAGAAACTTGCTAAACATAGACAATACATATGTGCATATATATGCATACATGTATATATACACAAATCTATTTCTCCAATTGAATCAATCACTAGAAGTTCAGTGCTTTGCCTTACAAAACAAATCCCCTAGCAGTTTGTTACTACCCTCTGTTCAAAAACTTTGGTCATTGGGTAACAGAGAGTTCATCTGATCAGATGCTTAGAGAATATCAGAGACGGATGGATGTAAATAGTCCTGTACTCCAGTGCTCAAGTTCACATGGTGATATCTCTGCCTGTAGTCATGGGTTGTATACCTCTAGTAAAAAGAATGATTAAAAATACTCTCTGAGCACAGATTATTATTAGTGAAACATTTATTAATAATGTCATTACAATTGCTTCTAAAATCCATGTTGTTTCAATGGTGAAGAGGTCAATGCCGGACTAACCTCAGTCAGATGGTTATTACAGTTATATAGCCATACAATGGACAATGCGTTAAAATGTTATGGAGCAGCTGCATAAATTGGCAACATTTTGTATCATTAAAAAAAAATCTCTGAAAACCTAAAAATGATGCTGTTTTATGGGTGTAGATACTAGAAAAATCTTTCATTTTTAAGTTAAACCTGTATCATTGTTTAATACAATGTATCACCTGTAAAATGCATATGCTTATTGTTTATATCAAGTGATATTTGCATTATAATTTAAGGCAAATATAAATTCATGTTTATGTTTATATAAAATATGTATAAAAATAGAGTATTTAAAGGAGTTGAATATTCATACTGAAGAATCGATCAATCAAAATAGTTTCACTTTTATGTGTTAATGAAATTGAGGTATTTGTACATTTATTAATTTCAGCTGTAGGTTGAATTAAGCCTCTCAGCCTTTTTCCACCCTGAAAGAAAAATAATCCTTTAAAAGCCACCATAAAAGTGAGATTTATCTCACAACAAAGCATTTGTATGATAAGGAAATTTACCATTTTGAACTTGAAAAAATAGAATTCAATACAAAAGTTAGGTATGTTTTATACGTTTGGCACAATTTCAATAAAAATAATTTTATGCCTTCTCTAAATTTGGATTAGATACAGTTACTCAAGAAGATAAAAATATAGATACTAGTAACAGTACTATACAAATGCTTTATGCTTATGCATTTGAGAATATGTAATCCTTTGCAAAATACTTATATAAAAATGGAATTGTAATCTTAAATTACATAGGTCTATAATGGCAAACAAAAGTTTTCTTAAGTAATGCTTTGAAAGAAGCATAATAAAATAATACATGAGGAACTACATTTTGTTCCTCACTATAAATGATGTATTTCATCAAATTAGACTGCAGTTACCCATCCACGTTCACAGACAAGACAGGGTGGAATGCTTAAGAAAAAGACAAAGAGTGCAGAGTTAAATATATTGGTGTTTTAACTATAAAATAATACATTTCTTATCTTTCTCATGGAATCTTCAAATTCCCCGTGGATCACTCCTGTTATTTTCTTTATAATTATACAAATTTAAAAGTGCAAGAAGAAACGTTTTTCATAAGCATTACACCCATAAAGTCTAAGCCATCATAAATGCCACATTTTCTTCTGGTAAAGAACATAGTGTAATCCCTCCTTCCAAGTGGAATGTAAATGCTTCATCTTTTTAATATTAGTGTACCTATAGAGAGGATAACACATGCTGAACAGCACTACCCTCTGCCATGTGATTCAAATGACTGTGTTTCTGTTTATTATCTCAATACAATACCTGGCTCACAGTGGTCCTAGTTATGACTATATTTCAAGGAATCCCCTTCTAGCTCTGCTTTCATTCTGAAACCAACTGATGTTCAAATTCACATCTTGACTTTACAAAGCTCTAAAAAGTGTTATTACTCTTTTTTTAGCTTTGTGTGTACTGCTGTGCATGTTTGTACTGGTGTCCAAGAGGATGCAATCTATCCAAAATACATAGGAGGCACCTTGGTTCCAGACCACTGTCCAGGTGAGCAGCTTGTTTCCTTCTCCCAACTCAGTTCTTCAGGGAAACTTTACATAGTCTTTCTGTTTGAACACATCCTGCTAAGAAGGATTTCAGAACAAACCTGATTTATTGGACCAGCGACGTGATACGATAACTGAAAATTTGTTACAGAGTCCTGTTGTTGTTGCTGTAGTTTGTTTTGATTGCTGAAATATTTTCCCACAATGTGATTCTTTGATCTCTTCATCTTAATAAAGTGATATTCTTTGGATAACTTTGATTTCACTACCTGCAAGTGAAGAGCAAGAAAATAGACAAAATCAATAATATTTGAGCCTTGAGTAGGGCAATATAACTAACTCTCAAGTTTGAACTGCATTTCTGCCACACAGATATTTCCCAAAGAACACAAATATCAATTACATAATCAAGAACCAGGGTAACTTATGTTTAAAAAAAGATGGTTGAAATTATAATCCCTATCAGTTTCCGTATGTCAGGACAGCTATTCCCAATGCAACTAAGGAACTGTTTCAGGTGATGTGTCTATCACACTGGTATGTACATGTGTGTGAATGTGTTCACATGTGTGTGTGCATGTGTGTATATTTATCCAGACACACTACAATGGAGTTTGACATAGCACCACAATAGAGCAATTAGAGCAGATATGTGCATTTGCTATGTCACTGATTCAAATGTGAGACACAAATTTTGTCATGGCACTTTCTGTAGACTGTCAACTAAAACAATTTATAGAGAAAAGAAAAACATTTTTTTCCATTGCAGAGCTATAAGGTAACAGTTTTGTAGTTAGTGGTTTCATTTCTCTGGGCACTTAATGTGTCATGTAATCTGAATACAATTTATGCTTTATTAAGTTAATAACTGCATATTTGTAGATACACATATATGTGTGTATATACATATACTTTTATCTTAAACTTTTTTGAATAGGCAGTTTTATAAAGCATTAATATAGCCTAAGATATTTTTTTGTTTACTTATATGTGCATACAATGTTTGGGTCATTTCTCCCCCTTCCCCCTACCCCATCCCTTACCCCCGCCTTGCCCTGCCACATCCCCTCCCTCTCCCCCCACCCCCTCGCTTTCCAGGCAGAAACCATTCTGTCCTTATCTTTAATTTTGTTGAAGAGAGAGTATAAACAATAAGAAGGACATAGCATTTTTGCTAGTTGAGATAAGGATAGCCATACAGGGAGATTCCTAGCATTGGTTCTATGTACATATGTGATACATTCTAAGTAGATTCTTCTCGAACTGATGTTTTCTCTAGTTCTTGATCCTCTTCTCCTATCGGCCTCTGTCGCTTTAAAGTTTCTGTATTAGTTCATTTGCATTAAGGACATCAAATACTACCATGTTTTTGGGTTTCTTACCTATCCTCATACCTCTCTTGTGTGCCTAAAAAGATTTATAATCAAAAGTTTCCTTCCCTTCTTTGCTTCCCACCTCTAACCATCAATCCTGTATGTACATCTTACCAGCTTCTTTGTGATTCCATTCATGTTATTTTATGTATATATAGTATACACTCTATACTTGTACATCCAAGCAGGTTATATTTATAGTCTATAATCTATAGTCATATAGTCTATTTATAGTCATTTTACAAGACATCGTAGTGAAATCCTGTAATTGTCAGTTTAATCATTTGGTTAATAGAACTCAGTTTGTTAGCACCAAAGATTTGGGGGATAGAGGTAGGGACCAAAAGAGAGGCCTGGGAGAAGGTTGGGAAGTAGGAAAAGTGAGAAAGCAAAGGAGAGAAAATTCTGGTTAAATATGTTTTGAGTGTGTCTTTGCAAATGAATATCAAAACATGAATTCCATCATTTTAATGAAATTATAATTCTTTTTTGTCACTACTTAGACACAATAAACTATTGATGACTAATGTAAGTAATGCTAGCTCACATAGTTTTTTTTCTTTTGAGTACTTTGTAATAATTTAGGTTGATTTTTTTGGGGAGAAGACAATATTGGGGTTTGAAGTCAAGGCCTCATGCTTGCACAGTTCTACCACTTGAACCATGCCTCCAGTCCTTTCAATGTAGTTTGTTTTCAGATAGTCTCCTTCTTTTCGCCAGGGCTGCAGGACCATGATCCTTCTATTTCCCTTTCCTAAGTGTCTGCAGTTTCAGTCATGTGGCCTCCCACAGTTTGAGGTACATGTTTTTGGATATAGTATAAGAATACAGCAATGAAAACAGTTCCAAAAAATGAAAAAAATCACATGATATCTATTTTGGAGATAAGACTTTTCAGTTATACTGTAAATGAACATGAACTATTTCAGAAGAGATGTTTGAGTAAAAAAATCTGTAAAAATCTATATCAAAAGGTGAGTAGTAGTGACTTTTTGATGGGGGAATTTCAGGTGATTCTAAATCAGCTCTAACTTTTGGTCTTGACCTTTTTCTTTCAAAAAAATCAATATGCATTACTTAAGAACCATAAAAGCTTCAAAGCTATTAGCATTTTGGAGAAAAATATTAACAGTAATGTTTTAAAACCAATTGCACTTTGCTCACCCCAAAGACATGAGTTGCTTTCCTGTTCTGTGGGAAGTTTGATTTTTTTCCTGATTGGGTCTTGGATCAAGTGACTCTTATGAAGGGTGGTGAAATCAGCAAGTTGAGTAAGGAATCCCTATGCATTGTAATTTTGAGCTTAGTTTGCATTTAACCACTGATTAATATTCAAGATCCCAAAGGAACAGTTTCTGTTATGTGCAGTCTCTTATTCCTATTTGTTAGACCTTCGTAATTCCAAATGCAATAGGATGCAACAGGGTACCAATGCTTTCCTGAAGGTTTTCTTCATTATGGTGGAGGTCTGTACTCACTCAAGATTACCAAATAATGTTCTGATGTTTGTTTAAGGAAACCCTTAAGCATAAATATAACATTCAACCTTGAAATAATATTACTTCAGTGTTTTGAAGCCAAAGTAAGGACAATTTTGTTTACATAATTTTATCTTAAGGTCTCTCTTTTGCAATTGCCTGATGTTCTGCTTGCTAATTACACATAAAATAGAAAAAGTCCTACCACAATGCAAGAGGCTGTAGTTGTGTAAACATAATTTTAATATTTTATGTGATTTCAAGATTGAATTTAATGTGGCCTTACAAATGCTGGATTATGCTAATGTGGATGTGTATAACAGTTTTAAATGAGATTCATAAATAAGATATCAGAAAATATGTATCTCTAGTGTATTTGCTGAAGTACATAGCTTTCAATCAAAAGTAGTCTTAATGGTTTGCCAGATCTCAATGGGAAAGTTAAATGAGCTTTTAGAGCTCAGTAAGTTATCTCTAAGTCAGGAAAATGGGATGATGAGGTACCCCGCATTTCTAAGGGTTAAGCTTCCTCAACTGTTAATGCTTCTCTTACATTATTTGAGATGGACTCTACATGTCCATTTTGGTGATTTTTATATTTAATTTATTTGATTTCCTTTGAAAACTACTTTTTAGGAAATGATTGAAGACAATGTTTCCTAATTCCTTTAAGTCACAATTGCCTTGATACTAAATACTAAAATCTGACAAATATATAAAGATAATTATTTCAGTTTTCATTTATCAAAATGTGGATGCTAAAAATCCATCTGACATGCTATTGTGAATTAAAAAATCTAGTGGTAATATATGCCGTACCACTAGTGCATAGAATTTACTTCAAGAATGTAAAGTGTTACAGTATCATGGAATATTACTGAAGCATCATGTGGAGCTATGTCATTGCCTACTCTGAAAACCCAAATAATCTACTGAAAGAGAATTGTTATAAAGTTGAAACTTAAAACTTATAAAGCTTTTGATATTCCATCAATAGTCAATAAGAAATATATAATATTAAACAATAACTAAATTGAACAATGGCCGACAGGATGCGAGCGAAGAATACATGAAAAGTTTAATGAGCTGTAAGCAACACATGAACAAATGGAAGCACATATAATGTCAAAGCTCACAAGTTGACCATAGTGCTATCCCAAGGATAAACACAGTTGGATTTGGGAGAACATGACAAATTCTAAAATGCATGTTAAAGAATAAATATAGAAAAATAATTAAGACCTTTTGAGAAGAATAAAAATAGTTGGGTGGGGGGGACTTTCACTACCAGCTATTCATTCATCAATATAAATTGTGTCTACCATCACAACCCATGAGGATTTGAATCTACCATCAAACTATGACAGAAGTGTTAGTTGTCACAAACTCTGTGTTTCCTCCCTGAGTACTGATGCTTTCCTGCCTCTTACACTTCTCAGTTGTTCCCTTGGAAACCTCTTGTTGATGGAAACAAAATACTTTAGATAGTCACTGTCACCAGTGAAGGTTTTCATAACCTCATTGCCAAAATGAACACCTTGCACTGGCAAGAGGATTTTGCTCCTTTCTTCTTTCCCTCACAAGCCTCTCCAGTGTGTGTGCGTGCGAGGTGCAGAATAGGGGTAGGGAGAGGGTCAGCTAATGGTATAATATACATCCCTCCATGGTTTATTTGCTAAGGTCCAGATCTCTAAATCTGCTGGTTTTCCCTAAACACACCTATTGCCACTTCCGGAATTATTCTATCCTTTCTTCTGCTCTTTGTAGACTAATGCCACCCAGGGCATCTCTCTTAGGTTGGCATTCACCAACATCTTAGGGCACAGTTCTAATCCCGTTACCACCCTAGTTATTGACAGGATTCTAATACCAAATTTGACTAGCTTCTCATTTTGAACTCATTCAGAGTCTCCCAATGGCAGGAGATAAAGAATATAAAGAAAAGCAGTGTATGTTCTCTTGGAGCTTCTCAAGTTTGGGCTGGGGATACAGCCGTATGTAGTTTTTATAATGCACTGATAGGCATTTCTGCTAGGACCCTTTAGTTATGGGGGCTGAGGAGCCTCCTGAGAAAGCACCAAGGCTGTGTCCCCTACTCAATCTCAGGTTGAGGTTACCTGAGTTCCATGATCAGCCAAGAAATTTAATAAATGCTGAAAAAAGTGTTTCACTGCAACTGACGCTGGAGTGAGATGTTGAAGTCCAGTAATAAAATACACAAAGGGACAGAACAAGTCTGCACAGAGAACAGTACCAATTTGGAACCCTGAGGGAACATGTCTAGAAGAGGAGTGGGAGTCACCACGGCTAGAGCCTAGAACACCTGCAGAGACAAGGAATCAGAGGCAGCAGTGTGTGCTGGAACTGCACAGAATCCATGGGAACACTTGTGAAACTCCTTGGGGGGTGCACTGTCTT